ACCCTAAACCCTAAACCCCACACAGTTTAAAGCCGGGCTGAGGTTCCGCGATACTTCACAAGCCAGCTCGGGAAGCCCCGCTGTGCCCAGGAGACCCCGGAAAACGTGGCCACTACGCCAGGCTTGGACGATCCGGTGCACGTTTCGCGGGTTTAGGGCTTAGGGGTTTAGGNNNNGGTTTAGGGTTTAGGGTAAGTCCTCATGAAGTTTATGAAAGCCCGAGCTTTAGTGTTTTTTGGTTTGTCCAATCTTGTCGCGCCAGCGCAGTTTGAGCACTCGTACAAATAGTCTCGTGCACGAAGATTGAGACTCGGGGAACCGAAAACTCTTCTCGGCTCGCCCCCAAAAGCCGCAGACCGACAAAGCCTGAAATACAGCCCTGCGCAAGACAACTCATGCCCTAATCCCGATCCCGAACCCTTGAAACCCCTTCCCAGAGAGCCCAATACCCCTTAGTCAAGGACTATACCTTACATCATAATATTGCGGCCCCTATAATTTAAGGTATATTCCTTATTTAAGGGGTATTGGGTTCTCTTTGTATATAAGCCGTCAACAATCTCCATCGTAATAACGCAAATTTCTCCGACAGCCTTCAAACCCCACCGAAAAACCATGACCCTAAACCCTAAACCCTAAACCCATGACCCCCAGAACCCTGCCCTTCAGGGTTCAGGGTTTAGGGTTCAGGGATTAGGGTTTAGGGATTAGGGTTTAGGGTTTAGGGTTTTAGGGTTTAGGGTTCAGGGTAGATTGCAGTTTGACATGGGGCTGCGTGATTGCATACTTCCTTGTCAATTTTGTTTGTTTTTTGCACTTTGCCATTGCGAGATTCGGGTGTTTGGTAACGTTGCTCTCAAATGGTAGCCTCGCAGCCTTTTGGGGTTTAGGGTTTCGGGTTGAGCGTTTAAAGAAGTTGTCTGGGGTTCAGGTCCGGAGTTTGGTGGCGAGTTTTTGGGCGGATTTTGTCGGGGGTTTTGAGCGAGTTGTGTTTGCTCCTGGTGCATTTTTCACTGCACATCCTGGATATCAGCGATTTTGGCATTTGTTTGCGATTGTTGCGGATTTTACACGGCAAATCTACATTTTTGGTATGTTGGTGGTGTAATTTCGGTGCTTTTGCACAGCAAAGCACAAGAATGTTTACACTGCAACTACAAAAGTTTTTTCAATTGTTTTGTACAAGTTCGGTTCGGTCGGAGAAAGCTGTTTCGGCTAATCGTCGGAGAAAACTGTCTGTCTTGGCTAATCGGTCGGGTCTTGTGTGGTCGGTCGAAGAAACTCTCTTGGCGAATCCGTCGAGGAAAACTGGCTAACCGATCGGAGGAAACTGCGTAACAAGGCTCACCTTTTGGTGGAGTGGTACAGACAATTTCGATTCATCATTCCCTTGAGAGTTTAGAGTTTAGGGTCACTTGAAGCTCAAGATCAACCCCGGAAAGCTTGAACTTCAAATGTTGCAAACTCTGCATCCTGGCCGCAGCATGGCCGAACACGCACAACAGAAGCCCTAATTACCTGAATCCAACCCGCCAAACAACAGTCAAAGCTAACATGCATACATCGGCATAAACCCTTCAACAAACCCAGAGACTCCAATATCCCTTAATTAGGGAATATACCCTTAACATTATAGTAGGATCCCTAAACCCTAAACCCCTAAACCCCTAAACCCTAAACCCTAAACCCTAAACCCTAAACCCTAATATGATTTAAGGTCTATTCCTTAATTATAAGGGATCTTGGAGACTCTGGGAAGATCAGCCCGAGTCCTTAAGCTCTCACCTTAAGACCGTCGCCTCCCAGCGCAGTAAGCCCTAGCACGTAAAGGTTTAGGGTTTAGGGTTTAGGGTTTAGGGTCTAGGGTTTAGGGTTTAGGGTTTAGGGGTTAGGGGTTAGGGTTTAGGGTTTAGGGTTTAGGGTTTAGGGTTTAGACCCTGCAAAGCTGCAAAATCCTAGAAGTTACCCCTACGATCACCCAGAACGTGACAGCATGTCACAACTGTCAACGGTACTCCTCCTCGCTTGTATCATGAATACCTTCGGACACCTTGAAAGGTTGTGCTTGGCCGGGTGCCTGTTTTCGGACTTGAGTTTGTCCTCGTGCTTGAGTGGATCTGCTTTTCCTGCTATACCCCTAAAGAGAGAAGCACAGCGTGCAAACCGAGCAGTCAACAGTCAAGATCCTCCTACTTTGAAAGTTCCAACCACTCTTTGTTGAACTTGCAAATGAGCAGTCTCGTGCCACAACGTCGAACGTTGCAGGCCCGCTCAGTAGGCTGGCAAGGCAAAGAAGTTCAGGGTGAGGCGGAAATTTGAACATTCCAACCATCAAAAGAGTACGATGTTGCGCTTGCCGCAGGAGGGTCGCTCCTGCGCCGTTCGGGCTGCGGAATGTACTCTTCAGAAGGACCGCCGGGGATCAATCTAGGTTGGGCGTCCACGCACTAAACCCTAAACCCTAAACCCTAAACCCTAAACCCTAAACCCTAAACCCTAAACCCTAAACCCTAAACAGGGTTTCTATCCTGCGTTGCAGTCGCCGTGCAGACACGCTGTGAGGGTCCGCGGCCCACATCAGCTACGAGGTTTGATGGTGTTCCCAGAGACTCCAATATCCCTTAATTAAGGAATATACCTGTAATCATATTAGGGATCCTACTATAATTTTAGGGTATATTCCCTAATCAAGGGATATAGGAGTCTCTGGGTCGTTTGCAAGGCATCGTGAGGCCCCAGGAACCATGAGGGTTTAGGGTTTAGGGTTTAGGGTTTAGGGTTAAGGAATATACCTTAAATTCAGTAGGAACCCTAATAAGATGTAAGGTCTATTCCTTAATTAAGGGGTTTTGGAGTCTCTGGGTTCTTGCATCTGCCAGCTTCCGCAAAAAGCCTCTCCAAACATCCAAGCTTTTTGTATAGATTCAGCAGGAGCTCCTTCCTTACCCGGAGATGAGGCCTGGAGTTTGCTAAACCCTAAACCCTAAACCCTAAACCCCTAAACCCTAAACTCGCTGAGCAGCCCGGACTTTGAGCCATGCACCTCCGATGGGATTCGGAAAATGTTGAGTCGGCTGGGGCGAGTTCAGGGTTCAGGGTTTA